GAAAGCCTAAATGACTCTTTTGATAAATGTGAGTACACGCAGTGATGTTACGTGATGTTTTGTGATGCTAACGTGTTAGGTTAAACACGCGGGAACTGCAAACAAAGAACTGATTGGAAAGGATTTATCTTTAACTCTGGTAATGAAAACATTGATATTCCAGGCTTTCCGTGAATTTCATCAGACTTGTAACTAAATATTCTGATACTGGCATACTGATTTTCAAGCACGATAACAGTAAACAACCCCGACCGCAGAGATATTTCTGGCACACACATGTGCAGGAGAGAAAATAGAAATCACGTGATCAAAACATGGCAGCATAAAATTTCCCAAATGGAAATCAGGGGAGATCTCAAAAGTAATTAAAAATTTTCAGTCACAGACACAATGGGAGAACTATGAAATAGATACACAGCTCTGATTGAAAAATATGACAACATAAGAGTTGCATCATGATTGAATATAATGGGAAAGAATGCTTCAGAATTTACAAACATCACAACATAGTAGAACAAGACTGCAAGAAAACAAAACAATACTGGAAGCCACACGAAAACACTTGGAACTTGGAAATGGATCCATACCTAAAGGTCCATCTAATTACTCTATGTGTGAACTACATGGGCATACACAGCTAAAGTATCAGCATAGGATATGGCCCCTAACAACTGCATTAACATCATATTCAGCAACCATGGCAACAGACGTTCTACAGAATCGCAGGCATCATCTGTAACTCTTGGCTCATCATTAAATTTAACTCCTTATTCGTTTTGGCAGCCATTGCTAGTCAGTCAGGTAATCGTGACTTTTATATAATTTTCAAAATTTATTACTCATTGCCTGGTCAATATGGGATCAACCGGCATATTACAATGTTTTCCCTCACATGAGGCCTATAAATTTTATGTCTTACAAATACATTCTGTATGAATATGCCTTTTGCATGGCATATATGTATTTCTATGCTTCTGACTTGAAAAACAAGTATAGTGGGTTAAAAAAAAAAAAAAAAAAAAAAAAAAAAAAAAAATTCATACAAAAAACAAAAACAAAACAAAGCTAATAAATAAATAAATAACAATTTAAAAAAAAAAAAAAAAAAAAAATTGGTTGTACATGTACCACCAGTATTTTTGCTAGCTTTAGTAAAACTTGGCACACTACTCGAGCGTTTTTGCCATTATCGAAATCAATGCAGGGATAACATTTTAGTTGTAAAAATGCTAAATTCTGGTGTTTACATCCCAACATGTTCATAATTTTCAACACAACAATAAAATATTAATATTTTTTGATATATTTAACTAAGCTATATATATATATATAAAAAAAAAAAAAAAAAAAAAAGAATGAAACTTATTATTTAATGATAAGAAATTCTAGCACGGTTATAGTGTAATTTGTGGCCATGGCAACTGAAATGAATTTTATAATTTTCAGAAAAAACACAGTACCTGTTTTCAGAATATATGTCATTGATTTATATATAACTACAAGAAATACCCCGAAAAATGCATTTTAATCTTCATATCAATTTGTCTAGAAATGCTTAAAATCCTTGCCATTGAAGGGGTTATATATGCTTTTTATGTTGCTCAAACTAAGGCAATGCATTCCATAAAAGGGAAGCTCTCTCAATCATTAATAAGTGTTACTCATGATTGGACAGTATATCATTGTATATCATTGAATATTGTTGCATATCATTGAATATCGTTGTTTATCATTGAATATCGTTGAACCATTGAATATCATTGAATATTGTTGTATCATTGGATACCATTGAATATCATTGAATACCATTGCATATCATTGAATATCGTTGAATATCGTTGCAAATCATTGAATATCATTGAATATTGTTGTATCATTGGATACCATTGAATATTGTTGCATTTCATTGAATATCGTCGAATATCATTGCAAATCATTGAATATCATTGAATATTGTTGTATCATTGGATACCATTGAATATCATTGAATATTATTGCATATCATTGAATATCCTTGAATACCACTGAACAATCATTGTACACATTTAGTAGCAGTTATTCAATATACACTTTGTGTATATCATTGCATTGATACTTTATGTACATCATTGTATTGATACCTTGAGTACATCATTGTATTGATAATTCATTTTGACTATTGATCAATAAAGCCATGACAAAAACTGCCAATCACTGTTAATCTATTTTGTCGACATAATCAGACTTAACTCAATATGAGTTAAGTCACGTTATGGAGACAAATAGAAATATGGTCCAGGAAAGATAACTCTAATGCAAATGTATATAACTGCTTAGCTACATCCATTACGCATGTGCATTTTACTCTTCCTTTTCCATCTCTGTCATCCATTGAAACTCAGCATCCCACCCACCCTCCCCATTCACCAGATTTTAATAAGCTGTTATTTTATTTTGAAAAAGATGTTGCTGCTGTCTTTGATTTCTTTTTTCAGTCATCATCAATTCCCTTGGCTACCAACAGAAGAATGCGTGACATCCTTTCCATTGACTACCAGCAGAAGACTCCATTACATTTCCTCTTGGCTACCAAAAGAAGAATCAATTACATTTGATTCCTTGGCTACCAGCAGATGAATCCATTACATCCATTCCACTTGGCTACCAGCAGAAGAATCCGTTACATTCGATTCCTTGGCTACCAGCAAAAGAATCCATAAGCGTCATGGCTTTTCTTATGTATCATTTAACTGCGGTGTTTCTGGACTTTTTACGGACTGTGAACCGAATTTTGCTAGAAGCTCGCTGCTGATCCTGTTATCTTCCAGGGTCCGTGGCCAATAATTGGGCTTATGTCATTCTATGAACCTTCTACATCATTCACTGTTGAAAAAGTCGATGTAGTTCATGGTCCTGGTAATACATCGATACCTGCTGATTGCAATGCAGGTATCATTGTATATCATAGAATATCATTGTATATCATTGAATATTGTTGCATATCATTGAATATCGTTGTTTATCATTGAATATCGTTGAACCATTGAATATCATTGAATATTGTTGTATCATTGGATACCATTGAATATCATTGAATACCATTGCATATCATTGAATATCGTTGAATATCGTTGCAAATCATTGAATATCATTGAATATTGTTGTATCATTGGATACCATTGAATATTGTTGCATTTCATTGAATATCGTCGAATATCATTGCAAATCATTGAATATCATTGAATATTGTTGTATCATTGGATACCATTGAATATCATTGAATATTATTGCATATCATTGAATATCCTTGAATACCACTGAACAATCATTGTACACATTTAGTAGCAGTTATTCAATATACACTTTGTGTATATCATTGCATTGATACTTTATGTACATCATTGTATTGATACCTTGAGTACATCATTGTATTGATAATTCATTTTGACTATTGATCAATAAAGCCATGACAAAAACTGCCAATCACTGTTAATCTATTTTGTCGACATAATTTAGGATTAAAATGTTTATATAAAATAAAACTTTAAAAATCAATTTTTGGGGAATTTGAATAAAGGATATAGAGATAACGAACAGTATTCAATATCAAAGTCCATAAAACAATACAAAATAGAAGCAGAGCAAACATGGGCCTCCGAAACATCAGAGGTGGGATCAGGTGCAATGGAGGAGTGAGCATCCTCTGCCGACCGGTCACACCCACTGTGTGCTCCTTGTCATAATCGGGAAATAACGGAAAAATCCGTCGTCAATTCAGCGTATAAATAATGTACTAACAATAAGTGTGTAAATCGTCAGTCATCATTTGACTCAATGATAAATTGTATTTGCTGACAAGATCATTGTATCGACCATAGAATTTACGAAATGATGAATTTAAACAAGACTGCTGAAAATCTTGATTCATCAACTTGTTTGTTAACAATTTACCTCGTTGTAGAAATTGTTCATACGAAGAACATGCTCTTGCGTATCCAATTAACTGAAATATGTAAATTCCGTATGCAGGTGATGAAGGTATATTGCTGCATAATTAAGGGAAGTTGACGAAAGAAAAGTTAAAGTCATCACGTTTATCATATAGCTTGGTTGTTAGATTACCATTAACGTCTTTTTTCAAGTAAAATATCTAAATATGACTCTGTAGTATCTTTTATCTCAAGCTCACCAGGATATATCGTATCGACATAAGAATGGAAATTTCCATTTTTAATTGACAGTACGTCGTCGATATATCTAAATTTCGAGTTGAAGGCCCAAGCAAGTGTTTTCTTCTTTTCACGCGGAAGATTTTGCACAAATTGTGCTTCATATGAATACAAAAATAGGTCTGCTTATAACGGGGCGCTATTGGTACCCATGAGAATTCCAGTAGATTGTTGGAAGACCTGGTCTCCAAAAATAATACAGATATTATCAATCAGAAACTCAAGTTTCTATTTGATGTCGACTTAAGAGTACTTGTATGTACAATCAGAATGGTTTTTAATAAAATAATTTTGCAAATGACCAATGACAAGGTAAGTAAATTTTCGAGTTCATTTTATTGAAAAAGCAGCTGTCAATGAAATCGAAAATCCTGGACTTTAATTTATCGTGGGGAATGGTTGTCTATAAAGTTGAAAAGTCGTAAGTTTTAAAGCTGTTTATTTTGGTTAAATCTTTTGATTCCAAATTGTCCAAAAGTTCCTTGGAATTTTTAAGTATCCACATCTGATTCACTTCTTGAATATATTGTTGAACAGTACTCTTGAAGTTTCTCTACTGTGAATATATTTTGAAAAGTATTTTAATTGTATGCACAAAGAATTAATTCTAAGGGATAATGATTTGTGCAAGAGTTATCTCCCTTTATGCAGCATTGTGTATAATATTGAATTGTGCACGACTTTATGAAATTCTGATTGGTGTTATTATTTATTTCAGGTATCATTAATATTGATAATCAACAATAGTACGAACCCTAACAGGTGTTTCACAGGCACTTGTTTTGGAAAAAAAATTAAAACATAATATAATGTTAGTAGTAGTACTATGGGTTAAATTTATTTCCGAAACAAATGCCTGTGAGGTGTTTTCATTCATCAGTTCATTACGATCAGAAACCCTGTTACAATCTTTACTAAAGTCTGTATACAACAGACAAGAAATATCTTCAATATTTATCAAAATTATAAAAACTATCGATGAACCTAACTAAAGTCTTTACATCAAAGAACAATTTTCAACAATCCCAGTCTGTGCAGAATGTTACGTTACTTAACACGCTCTGCAATACATTTTGCTTTCGTCTTTGATAGGTTTTATGGTAGCAATATTGGCGCAACTAGCTCACCGTTCTACACCATTCCCTCAATATTTGAGATGCCAGAAATGCGTATTATTTCGGATATTGTTCGTGTATGCACGTCGTGTATCCACGTTGGTCTCACTGCTTCTCAGATGAAATACGTCAATTTCAGGCGGTTTCTTAACCCATTCTCCATACCCGTAACCTGACATGGCTGATACAAACACGTCTTTTGCTGTTTTGTAGTCCTCGGCCATGTTTTTTGTTTCACGATATGTTTGATTCAAATTACTCTTGCTTGTCTGAATGAAGAGCTGGAATAGACTTCTTTTGCATATTCGAGATGTGGAATTACTATATAAAATAAAAAGGGGATACCGGTATTAAAAGTTAAAACACATCACAACTATAGAAACAAACATCAAAATTCTTGAAAAAATAATAATGATAGAACACTCAAAACTCTTGGTTACAAGGGCAATGTCCCATCGATTTCCCTTCATGCAATCTCTCTCTCTCTCTCTCTCTCTCTCTCACAACAAAAGCACCACCAATAGAATTCTAAAACTGTGTTACCCAATCGTCTTCCCATGTGTCCCATCAGTCAGTTCCACTGTGTCGTCTGCTGAGTTCCAGTTGATGCTGAGAGCGCGGGATTTATCCACGATGCGGACATCATCCAGACGTGTAACACAACCTAGATATGGATGTTGCAGTTTATAACCAGGAGGAAGGCCCTCTAACGCTCTACTGTCACGATCTACCCGACAGCACATAGCTCGTGACATGTGGCCATCACTAAACAACTGACCTATGAATATGAAATATACATGTATTTATAAATTAAGGCAGAATTTTTCTCATAAGTCTTGTATTCACAAATTAATGAAATTTTCAGAGATTCAAAAAAGACAATATCGCTAAGTGGTGATGACAATGAGATTAAGTTTGACCGTTTTGTATTAGAGGCAAGGCCAGGTCAAGGTCAGTACCTTTTCCCTGGGCCTAAAGAATAAAAAAAATACTTTTGCCACTCATGCGATCCCTATTTGTATTTCAAAAGATTGAATGTTTTTCGTTTTGCATATAAAGAAACTACCATACAGGGCCTATAAGATGATATTAGCATATTGACATGTATGTATGTATATTGTTTGACGTCCCTCTCGAGAATTTTTCACTGATATGGAGACGCCACCACTTGCCGGTGGGGAGCTGCAAATTTTGTCCTATACTAGACACTCAGGGTCATTGAGCAGGGAGGGATCTTTTTCGTTCCAGCGCCTACTGCGACACGGGACCTAGGTTTATACGGTCTTATCCGAAGGACCGGTCTCCATGTCCCACAGTGGGATTCGAACCCGCGACGTAAGGATTGACTCCTTACTTCGCAACTTTAGAGCAGACGCTCTAACCACTGCGCCACGCGGGCGACCCAAATTAACCTGAATAATTTAACTAAAATGGATATTGGATAATTCGAATTTTCTATACTTTTCTTAATTTTATGAAGTATATTAGTTATTTTTATATGCTTCTTATATTTACATGTTTCTTATTTTCACATATGGTAAAGTTGTCACATAAAGATACAAAATGAAAAATAAAGTTTTGATCGTTTACGAAAAGGGAAAAAAAACAACACTTTTTATGGATTTTTGTCTCAAATCTGTACTTAGATTGGAAGCTTTTAAAAGCTAACATAGTTTTAGTTTGCTTGAAAAATTATAGTAATTTGATATAATTTGAAACTTTACTTCCTTATTATTTATTTATTTGCATTTAAAAATTTCTTCAAGTCTTTGATTGTATAAATATTAAAACTAAATTCATTGTTCTTTATTTTGAGAGGCACAAACATAGAATTTTCATACGCCACCACTCCGCCAAAAATGTAGTCCCTGCTAGTTTTCAAATGCAGTTTACCATTTCTATTTAGAGTTGTATAATTGTGACGAGAAAAGAAAAATATGGTCTTTTAAATCTCTTACACCTAAATATTTAAAACATATAAGCAAATATTTAAATATTTCATCTAGTCAGAAACCAGAGAAGAAACCTACCTTAAATGAAATATTTTGATTCTTCTGCTTACGTGTAAGTCCTGTCATAATGTATCAAAAATAAAGAACTAAAATTTTTTAATGATTGTGCATATTGATTTACTAATTTTGTTTTGGTGACATTCACCTAAGGTAATAGTTGACAGATAAATCGGTTCTACAAACAGCGACAGAAGCGCCCCCTGCAGTCCTACAACGTTCCAGCGGCAGATTTTGTCGCTACATGACATCGTGCGAAGACGTTCTTGTCGGCGGATCCCATCCAGAGTCTGAGGAGCGTCATCAACTGGTATGGTCCCCTCTCCTGTTGATTGTAAATTTTTTGCATGTATTCACTTCAATGTCATTAAGATGTATAAATTTCATTTTCATTGCATGCATTCTTTTCAAAGAGAAAAAAAATCTTTGATGGCACCTGAACCAAATCTGATGTTTTTTGAGGTCTATGTTTGCCCCGCCACTCAAAATGTTTGGACTTTTCTGAGTTTTTCCCCTTTTATAAAACACATTTGTCCATCATGTATTTTAATTAAAACATGACAGTTTCGTTCTTATATATCTGCTATGTTGTATTTTGATTTAAGATCATAAACCAATCTGCGGTGAGCTACTGTTTTAGGATTTACAGTGAGAGACATATATTTTTTAACATCAAAACACTTCAATGTGATTCTTTTGGATAAAAATTATTGAGACTCTATGTATGGCTTTGAACCCAAAGTTTGCTGTTGGTAAACGGAAATGGGTGTCTCAGATGTAGTAACTAGACTTTTCCAGTTATTTTTTTCTAATGTTGAATTTACCTATCAACAATTAATAGAATCCACTATTTATGGATTTTCTTTTTTTAAGTTTCTGAGAATCAATCCGTACCATGCTCCATCTTAGTCCTTAAATGTCCCTGATGTGAGCTTCCGAATATTGGCTGGTGCTTGGAACTGTTGCCAGGGTTTGCACTGAAAAACATATATATACAAGCAGTGTAAAGAATCGCTAAAATGTATATAACATATGGTCTCATATGCATTGTTGTTTAATATTCAATACGCATTTAACTAGTTCTTAAGTGACATTATGAAATCTATTTCTAAATGTACTTATTGATTTTTATTTATTTTTTTTTTCATATCGTTTTGAGAAATGTAATCTTAAAATTTGATCAACCATAAGTTATATAGACTGCGCATCTGGATTGAGTTGCCAAATATGACGTAAATTTTAGTTTTTTATGATTTCACTGGTATCTTTAATTTGATGTGTGTTGGTAAATATTTGATATAATTTTTAATATCAATAATACATTTTCATGAACACACATGCGCTCTATAAATTCTAAAGCTTTACCTATGTATGTCAGAGCAGTATTACGTTTTCAAGAAAGAATCGAAGTTATATTTATAGTCCAATGTCTATGATATCTTATGGTATGTAACTGGTATCTTATGGTATGTAACATATATATATATTTGATTATGTGTTTCCTTACCATTTAAAGATTTGATTTACGTACTTATTTTGATTGCAAACTTTTACTTTATTCTATTTTTTGCATTCAAAGCTGTAACATAACTAATGAGTCTGTATGATTTATGATTTCAAGTTTCATAGAACTGTTTACAGGTAAAACAGTTTTTATAACTTCTGTAATTTTGTTTATTATTTTTTATTATATACTTTGTTTATTTTAACGTTTACTGTAATAAAAAAGAGTTAACTAATTTTTGGGGTTCCTAATTTTTTGGTTTTTATTTTACAATATGGAAGTTTTGCACAATTACTAAATCCTTTTTATTATACAAACATTTAGGATCTCACCATGGTAATCTTTGAAAATAGGAAAAAAGCAAAATAACTTAAGCGTTGTACCGTGTGAACACTGCCCCGTCCCCACAGGGGGCCGTAGATATATACAGGTGGATGGACAGGTGAGGAGATAGTTTTAATTTTCCAGATGGCGTTCTTGTCAGTAGCCCAGAGTGGGGTTTATGTATTTCACTATACAAGTACCTACAAAAGAAAACCAAGTGCTCGATATTCACAAATAGAGTCAGACAATTTATATATTACTGATCATGAAGACTGCATGAGTAAAGAGTGGTGTTAAATTTCAATTAGAATGAAACAGAAAAGAAAAGAAAAAATCACCTTCTAAAACCCCGTTTCGCTATAACTTCTGCGTGAGAATCGTTGATGACGTTCCCGTCAACACACAGGTTATTTCCAGTTACACAGCGGTTTCCTTCAAAACAATTTTTATCGAGGAACGGTAGGCAGCAAAACACATTCTAATATAGGCAGTATATTGACAAAATGACTTTTATAAATTAAGGTCTCTTTTGACTTCAAATCTATGGATAACACAGTAATTTCACGAAGCAACCAGCACCTTCTTAAACCTTCAAACTTCAACGTCTTCACTTTTTTCCACGATGGTTTTCAGGTTTCTTTACGAAATTACTAAAACATCCAAGCGCTTTTGGGGAAAAATACACGCACAAGTATACCTGGTACATCTTTTTGTCTTATCATGTAATTTTATTTATTTTCAAGGCTTGTTTGTAACATTCCATAATATTCAAGGCTTGCTTGTAACATTCTATAATATTCAAATCACACGTTACCTGTTCCTATGCTGATTACAGACAGTCTCTTCGTATATTTATCATGTAACAAGATGGCGGCCAAAACCTTGCGCCCTGACAAATTTTCTTCTACTGTTGATATCACCCTCTCAAATTTCCCAATAACCTCGGCGGCTACTTTGTCACTCCATGTTTCTAAAGTTTGAATTTCTCTGCCACCAGGCCTCTGTAAGGTATGAGGATATTTTAAATTACTGAACTTGCATCCTTTAGGTACCTTCTTAATAGAATAATCCAGTAAAAAATAATTAATACAAATTTTGTTAATTCAAGATATAGTAAATGATAGATGCCTACAGATCTATCAAATTTAAGAAATGTATTCCTTTAATGATGCTTTATTACTTTGGCTTGGTCAAATAAGATGTTTCGGGGTAGATTTTGTATGTAAAAAAGATGAAAAATCTTATTTTAAGCTGTTGTTTCCAATGAAAAATTAAGAAAAACAGTCATGAGTATGGGAGTTTTTTTTTCTATATCGGACAAAGAAAATGTATCCAGATTGCCTACAGTTTTTTCAGAAAACTGTAATTTGTATGTTTATGGCCTCTTCTTTAAAATAATGTCAAAAGTACTGGTGTCGGGACTACTTTTCATGTGATTTCAAATTGAATTCCATAAAACAAATTTATTTTCTACACAATTCTATAAGAATTAGAAGTGTGGGAAAAAGAAAGAAAAAAAAGATCTAGCACCAAAACGTTAGTCTACAGACATTTACTATATCTTGACCTTGAAAAAGTTTCTTACGTAGTTGTGGCAATCCAATACGATGAAATAAACATGTTAAAGGCATAAGAGAATTCTTTAAAAATCTTCAATTCGAATGCTACAGTATTTTTTAAAATTTTTCTCTGGAGGTTGTTATAAATAATCTGAGTTTATTCTTATCAGGAGTGTTATTAAACTTTACTGCCTGGGATGACTGGACTTTGTATCTTCCTGTCTTCTGAAGGCTTCTCAGTGCTGCTGCTGTCGCTCGATTTTTTGCCTCGCTCATACTTTTTCCTGATATCGTTGGAAACTGTTCCTCATCCAATCGGGCGGCCATGAAAAATCTGGATAAAAATAGTGGTATTTTGTCCAAATTGTATTAAAAACCTACAGAAAAAGAACTCTCTTGTTTAAAATAAGACTACCAGTAACGTCATCATTGACGTCTAGAATTTTACATGTTTTTACATATAGAAATATTTATATACCAAATTATTTGGCCCAATGAAGCCCTTCTTGGCTGATTGACCTTTTTAAATCGGTTTCTATTTGTTTTGAAAATTTTATGTTTGTTTTGTTTATGTGTTTTTATACTTAACGAGGCTGGGGGTGGCAGCCATTTTCAGACTATTTCTATCTCCTTTAAAAGAAGAGCTCCATATAAAGATATAGAAAATGGTCAAATTTTAAAAATAAATTTTTTTTAAATATTTCTTTGCCAAATGATAGTTGACAGCTTAAGATATCATATCTAAAAAAATAAGTTAAATCTGGTGGTTAATTTGTGATTAATTTGTTGACCCCCAAGCCTCCTTAACATTATCATAATCACCCTTGATTGGTTACCTTGTAAATTACTTATCTTCATTAACTTAAGATGAAACATAAATTTATTTTTGAAGGCTTAAAGTAATTTGACTTCTTAAAGAAATTTGACTTCACTGTAGTAAAACTATTACTTTCTTTCTTCTGTTAAGGAAATGTAAATTATAATTCAAATACTTTAGCATACCTCGAGGGGAAAATAGTGCAAACGGGATCCCGGGTGGACAAATAAGTCGTCCTACTCCTTAGAACAGCTTTTTAGATAAAGCCAACAAATAAGACATACTATTTTTTTAATCCAAAACTGTCAGCTCCTCTTCCTTTTGTAAAAATACATTTTTCAAACAATTTCATTTAATCAAAATATATGTAGTTATAATGATTCATCTGTATCTGCCTAACATCTATGGATTATCTTCCTGTAGTATGCTTTCGTTTATGTACTGACGTGTATGCATGGGGTGGTCCGGTTCTTGGAGACGTTTCAATGACATCACAAGTCAGTTTCTGGGACTGAGCAAACTCGTGAAACAATTGCAGAGGATTTTTACCAGGTGGACAAATATCACTAAAGTCGTCAATCCTGCGCATCCTGCTTGTTCCAGGCCTTGCCGTCTTTTTATTTATATAATAGGAAATAAAGTTTGTTTTAAAGAATCAATAGATAAATATGCTCTTGCTTATTTGCACCTTTTTTCATTATAAACTAAAGCATCAATTAATCAAACAATTTCTATCCTTTTATAAATTTTCCTTGTACCTGTTTGGGTATTCGTCCTTCACTCTGCAGTTCCAACAGAGCTACATTTGCGGCTTCTTTCCTGCCCTCTTTCTTGTTTCCATGCTCAACTGTCTGAAACACACGGTTACCAAGCTCGGCATGCATGTAAAACCTTGTAAAGATACTTCACATAAATAAGACGCTTTGATTTTATTCAAGTATTACCTAATAATTTTTATCAAAACATTCATAAACACTTCAGTAACTAAGATCTAACTTCTACACACGTTGGACAATGTGATGGTCCTGTCTGTGAATCCTGTACGATACATCCAGTTTGTCCGTTTGACTGTGCGTACTCCATAAAGGCACTAACGGGATCTTTGTCAGGAATAGCCAGTTCCATTCGTGTTGAAGATTCATCAAATGTCTGTAACGAATCGCTTCAATGCTTCAATTAAGTGAGATGCTATAGTTAAGATCTCTAACATAAAAAAAATCTAATAAAATAAATTCAACATTTATTTTAACAAGTGTTTTTTTCCATTTTAAAACTACTATTTGGACTGAATGTTTATTCTTAGTTTTATCATTTCACCTTTAAGAAAAAGATATACATGAATATTTTTCTGGCATTAAACCTCGAAATATGTTGTGTAACGATCAATGCACGGTATTTTCAGGTTGACCTAGCATTTGCTCCATAGATTAAATTATTTGAAGAGGTTATTTAAGATATTGTATTAAAAAATTTCTCAACACTTGCATAAAATACTAGTTATCAAATACTTGTATGAATTTAATCCTGCTGTAGTTTGTCAGCCATTGTCTATATTTCGTAGAGTAGGCGAGAAAAGGAATAAAAAATAATTTTATTTTTAAATACACTAAACGTAAACACGTACCTGTTTTACATTCAGGTTGCGAGGCATTTGTCTTAGTGCCATATCGGCTGCTTGTGTTCTAGCATCTTTCTTGTTCGGTGCCTCGGCAGTACAAATTACATCTTCTCCAATACATGCAGAGGCTATAAAACTAGGGGAATTTTAAAAAGATCTGTAACAGTTATTACTGTTTATTAAACCCAGTTAAACCTGTCTAGTGTTTATAGCAATTGCTTTTCGGCTGCCCCTGTATTGATCATTCTCCACTTCTATTATCTATTAAATGCTTTAAACAATCTGCTTTTAATTACTTTTAAAACCAGCTTTCAATTACTTTGACGGAAGATAATTAATTTTCAATCTGGACGTCAATGTAGACAAATAGATAAGTTTTCTTACATTGGATTTCCAGAGAACAATCTTAATCTCTTGACTGGGTGACATTCCAGGGTTGGTTTCCTTCCGATTTTCTGACCGTACTCCATGAAGGCGCTGATCGAGTTCTTCTGCAAACTGTGCAGCGTACTTCGGTCCAATTCTTCATCTGAAAATTAGCATAGTTCCTATGTAGATTATTCAACTACAGAAAGCATATTAACTTCTTTGGTTAAGGATGTTGTCGGGCACAGGTTCTCTGTGGGTCGCAATATAATTCTGTTTCGGTCCCTCAGTTCTCAAAGAAGATATGTTGTAAACATTAATAATATTCCTAATAATTAAAAAATTCAGTCTTGCATTTCACCATATTTCAATTTGAATTCTATATCCTGCACTTCATACTGCATGTACAGATATTTCCAAAATGTTGCACCCAAATTTTTCAATCATAAACAAACACAGTTCCTAGATATTGAACATCTAATACATCTAAAGTATTTGGTTTGCTTTCAACAAGAGCCCTCTTGACATTTCATTTGTGACAGACTGTTTTTATATATTAAAAATACATATTTTATGTTTTTATATATTATGCATAGTAATGCATATTGCATGTACATCTATTTATCTGTCTAATCATGTATATATTTTTATTTGCAGTACAGTTGAATCATGATTAATCATTTAATATTTAGTTAAGTGTTTTGAGTAATAAATTCTTTTTTCCCAGAGGTCCAGAATTAGCCCCAAACTCTAATTATATTCTGGCCATGATCATTTTGTATATTTTAGTTTCATTGGTTTTTAGTGTTGTCTCATGCTTTTCGATTGGTTTTTGTCTTTCCCTCCAAGTTTATTTGTGAATTTGCATATTATTACAGCATATAATTGAATTAACGTAAATCAGATGTGGATCCCAAAAAACTCTAAAGAACTTAAAAACTTTTAAATCACCCTTTATTAAAAGTATATATAAATATGAAAACTTACTACTTTTCTAAACTTTATGCAATAAGTCCTGAGGATGGATTAAAATCCAGACCTTTTGATGCCACAACTACTTCTTTATTAAAATGACACTCAAAAATTCCATCTTTAAGACTGGTTAACCGCAAAAAACCCACTGTGGCCTTGAGACCATAAACTGAGAACAGACTTAAGTCAAAATTTTTCTTTTGAATATATTTAATTTTATTTATTTTATCTGCTTAGAGATTTGCAGGTTTATATGATATTCCAATTTCAACATATGTAGAAAATATTGTTCTCTTATCATTATTATTTCAAAAGTTATACTGACTTTAGATTTGACTTAAGTCTGTTCTCAGTTTATAGTCTTGGGGCCTGATTGCACATTAGGTACTCTGATGTTGATACTAAAAGGCTGTTGGTGTTGCTCATTGACAACATTTATGCAGTTTTTACAACAAACCTTTGGAATTCCGATGGGTACCAATTGTGAGTCCTTATAAACTGGCTTGTTTTTATATTCTGATGAGGCAAAATTTATTCAAAAACTTCTTCAAGAGAAGATAAAAACACTTGTTGTGGTCTCCAATTTGACATTCAGATAATGTATATCGACGATGTTTTATCAATTACTGATACATGTAGTTATTTTAATTCATTTGTCGATTCGAAACATCCCAGCGAACTTGATAAATAAAGACACTGCAGAGACTGCCAAATCTTTTTCATATTTGGATGTTTTACTGACTATAGACGATAAAAGCCAACTTACAACTACGTTGTAAAACAAACGAGATGACTTTAGTCACTATCACCCGGACTTGAGACCATAAAATCAGGACAGACTTAAGTCGACATTTTTAATTTGAATATTTTGAATTTTATTTATTTTATGTGCTTAGAAATTCGCTGGTATGTATGAAATTCCAATTTAAACCTACGAAGACGTTTTTTTTTATCATATTTATTTCAAAAGTCATATTGATTTGAAATTTTGACTTAAGTCTGCTCACAGTTTATAGTCTTGGGGCCAGTTGACAGTGTTTATTTCTCCTAACACATAAATAAACTTGTTTTAAGAAATGTTTGCACGAAGAGCTGCTTTTTTATGGAATCAACAGGTAGATATAAACCCTATGTGCAGGTGATAATGGTACATTGCTACATAAGTAAGGGAAGATGACAATATAAATCTGTCGCAAGAATTTAGTTGTCTGGTGACCATTAACGTCTTTTTCGAGTTTAATATCCATGTATGAAACAATAAATTGTGTCAGACTCAGTGGTATCTCTTATTTCTAATTCACTGGGATGTATCGATTCGATGTGTGAATGACAGTAACAACAAATTGTTGTTGATAATTAATATGTCGTTGAAAGATCTAAATGTCGAGTTGAAGGGTTTTCTCCTTATGTCTACACAATTGTTTACTATTTGGACAACTTCTAAATATTGTCAATCGGAAACCCAAGTATTTTTAAAATATCAACTTGCTTGTACTGGTGAAGACCAGAATCAGCCTACGACTTAGCCCACATGCACAAGAATAAGAACAAGTTAAAACCAAGATTGGATGTAGAACGCTTCAAAAACAATGAAGTTAAAGCAAAGTTCAATGACTGTGTGAGAAAGAAATTAGAAGAGCACAGAGAAAAGACTGAAAATATGGAGAAAATTTGGGAACAGCAGAAGATGGCATATGTGAACTCAGCAGAGGAAGTACTTGACTACAGCAAAGGCAAAAGTAAACCTTGGATCAGTGAAAACACCTGGAAGTTGATAAATGAAAGAAAAGACATCAAGACAAAGAAAGAGAGCATAAGATCAGAAAGAATCAAGACAAGGGTGAAGGAAAACTACAGAGAGAAAGACAAAGCAGTCAAGAAAAGTGCGAGGGGGGACAAGAGGAGATGGACGGCAGAGAAAGCTGAGCAAGCACAGAAAGCAGCCGAGAACGGGATGCAGAAGGAACTATATTATGTATTAGCATAATAAAACAGCTGACAAGAAAGAGTAATAAGCAAACAGCAGCGGTGAAGAGCAAAGATGTAGAGCTGCTGAAAAGTAAAGAAACGAGGCTTGGCAGATGGAGGGAACATATTGAGGAAATACTCAACAGAGACACCCCACAGTCACCACCACCAGATGAACATGATAAGGGAGAAGAGCTAGACATCTCGGATGAGCCATCCACCACACAGGAAATGAGAACTGTAGACGCTTCGGAATGGGGAGACCCCTGGAGCAGTTCAAATAACTGCAGATATGTTAAAGGCAGACCTTGATAAGAGCAGCCAAGAATTTAAGCACACCTTTGACCAAATATGAAAGGAAGAAAAGATGCCCAAAGAAGGGACAAACGGACTGATCTGTGAAATTACCAAGAGAGGCAAATTACAGGACTGCAGCAACTGGAGGGAGTCACATTGGTGCCCCTAGCCAGCAAAGCACTAAGCAGGATCGTCATTAACAGAATACAGGCTGGAGTTGACCGCATCCTGCTGCAGGGTTCCGGAGAGGGTGAGGGACTGTCAACCAGATCTTCATCCTCAAGAACATCCTAGAGTAAGTCAACGAGTGGAATGCTACACTGTACATCCATTTTGTCAACTTTGAGAAAGCCTTCGACTCGGTGAAGAAATATGGAATACCCAGAAATCTGATTATAATGGTCAAACCCCTGTATGACAATTTTCAGTGCTCTGTGATTGATGACAACGAGACCACAGATCCGTTTTCTATGACGACTGGAGTCAATCAAGGATGCTGCATGTCAGGCTTCTTGTTCCTCCTAGTGATAGACTGATTGATGCAACAGACTGTCAGAGGAAAGAGAACAGGAATTAGATGGGACTTCACCACTATGCTTGAAGACCTCGACTTCGCGGACGACATTGCCCTATTGCCATCAGCAATGAACAATCTTCAGTCCAAGACAACAAAAATGGAAGAAAACTCCGCAAAAGTTGGGTTGAAGCTGAATGCCAAGAATGCTTAGAAAGGATCCCACGGATGACTGTGTTGTGGCCCCCAGGTGGATGCCTGAAGGGAGAAGGAAGCGCAGTCGCCCTTAGAAAACATGGCGACGGATGGTGGAGGTGGAGAGAAACAATGTTGGCTGCAAATCCTGGAACACGGCACGCCGTGCAGCCTCAGACCGACCCCAGTGGAAAAGAGATGTCCAGGCCTTGTGTTATGGAAAGTACTATTAAAATTGGCACACACAAAAAAATTACCACCTACTTTTTTTCATTTGATCAACTGTAATAAAGAATAAACCTTATTCAAGCCGTTTTCGTGTCCAAATACATGTAATTTTAATTCGTTAGTTTTTCTCGTGAGCTCACAGACAAGGCCCTGTAGGGGGAAGAGACTCCCTTCTCCCCAACTCTATCCCCTCCCCAAAGGCACTCTTTGGATTTGCTGGAGATCTCGTTCCTCACATCCTGTGTATGGTATCTGGATAGGACCACGTAGTTCACCTTTGCTTCATCGAGCATCGTACAAGGGTTGATTGCGCGGCAACAATGCGAAGGCGCGATGATGATGATGCATGGGGGGGGGGGGGGGCAACACCGTGATGGAGCAATAGCACGAAGACAATGATGTGCCACAATAGGATGACGATGGTACAATAGCACGATGAAGCGTAAGTGAAGATCGCTCTAGTATCGTATCATCGCTGTCGCACCATTGCGTTATCGAGCTATCGCTTCATCGTACCATGGCATCATTGTCATCGCTTTGAAAATCGTCATCGCATTATCGCTTTATGGAACTATTGAACTTCGATGTTGTGGTGATGCGATAGTGAACTACGTGACCCTATCCGGATTTTTGCAACCTTGCCTTTTAAATGTCATATATATTTATATACATAACTTAAAAACAAATTCTTTTTCACTCTTATTTCGTATTTGGATACAAAATTTGTTTACCTTTTCTTACTTCCTCTTTACCCTCCTTTATCTCTGCCATTGAATGCATATTTTGCTGGTCGTATTTTGTTAATGATAAATGATATCAGTCAACTTGACAATGTAGGTACATCTTTAATAGGGTGGTATATGCAGGTATATGCAGATAACGGGAAACTTGATCCTTGAATTTTGTCATCTTTTTTATACCGAAATCTTACAAGCGAACCCAAAAAACGGATCGCATTCACTGTATTCACAATTGCTTTATTGAATTCTTCAATATCGTTGAGATTTCAATAGATACAATCCCCGCAAGATACCTCAAAACTTTTTCTTGTCGTAGTCGCTGCCGTGCTATATAATACATTTAAATGGCCATTTAAACGAGCAAAGGGGTTCCAAAAAGGGAAATAAAATGAAAATGCAATCAGAAATCGTCGGTTTACTCCGCAACGCCAGCACTCCAGTGTGCGAGGTACGAGCCATATCCGAGGAGCTCCGATCGATGTTAAGGACGTTCGATCCTGAGAATTTGAGGATATTTTGGTCAGGTCCTTTATTTATAAAATTCTGCATCATTTTTAAGTTCTAACATTAAATCTGAATTCTACAGTGCAAATTTAACTGCATTCAATGAAAAAACCGCGATTAAATTCCCTTTAAGTAGAATTAAGCTAGGGAATATTTTTTGTGGCGGAAGGTTTTTTTTTAGAGGAAAATGATCAGTTTTTTCCATTTTGAACTATAACAGTACTGTTAATTTTGGATTCCTATTTGTCCATCCTGGTTGTTCACAATGCTGTTTTTTGCAGTGAAATGTGTTATGCTGGTTCTGAAATATCTATTAAATTATTTCTTATGAATTCTATCAACAAAGTGTGACAAATATAGTAAATATATTCTGAAAATCCGGGGGAAAATTGAGCCAATTTTAATGTAAAATTGACACTTTTTTAGTAATATCTGAAAATTTACTTCATATACCCCAACTTTTGATGTTCTTTTCTGAATATTCAAGATAAATTTGACCTATTTGCTTAAAATCAGAAAAAGTTTAAGACTTTAAAATAATTTTCTTGCTTATAAAATTTTCAATGCCCGAAAAATCACATTGTATTAGTGCAGAAAGGTCAAATAATTGATTATGCGAAGCAATTTGAAATTTTTCCTTAGTCACAATTTTTAAGTGTCTTTTTTTAAACAAACTTAGTTTATTTTGTTTCATGCATTAATTGGATAAAAACATTGGAGGGAAAACGTTAAAAATGTAATTTTTAATTAAGACACAAATTTCAGTGCAAAAAGGTCATATTAAATGTATTGTAGCGCCAAAAGAAGCGTATTGACCCCCATTTTTTGATTTGAATTTTAATTAAGCTATGTATGCAGAAACTAAAAATATACTTGGCAAAAAAAGTTTAAGACTTTAAATATCAGGATCGAACGTCGTTAAGGAATGATGTCTTATTCTGAAGCATGAATTCAAAGCTTCTCTCTTACAGAAAAGAGGACGAGGGAGAGGTAAAAAATAATCCTAAAATGATTTAGAGTTTTAGAATTATTCTACATTTCTTCAATTTTCTAAACAAAAACTCAAACTGTATTCAAGTATTTAATATTTTAGTTCAAAAGCCAAAACATTAAAATTTCCGAACAAGTTTTAAATTTTCAAAGTTTTAGATTTTTATTTAATATATTCAAAATTCAAATTTCCAAAAAACGCTTTTGATAAAACTTTTGAATGTAAAAATTTAATATATCGCTTAAGGTAAGTCACTCGTCAGCTTTTTAGAAAAGTTCACGCAGAAGCTTTTACTTCAAAACTACTTATTAAAATTCAATTTTTATAATATATTTAAATTCAACAATGTAAATTTTTTTTAACATTCAATGAAAAAATTGCTCAAAAATCTACAAAGAAGCAAGATTTATGAGGGACTATTTCTTTTGGTGGAAGGATATTTAGCAGAAAATTCTGCAAATCTGCACATTCATAAAATTTAATGTAATGGAAATTTAGCCTCACATACTTTTACTCGTCGAATATTTTCCGTTTTGATATTGCTAAAAATATTTAATATAGGTCTTATTTTATATTTTTAGACTAAGTTTTACACCTTCTCTCAACAAACTTTTCCAAAAAATGAAAATATATTAAAGAAGTTAAGGTCAAATTTACACCATTTTTTGCCTGAAAATCACATATTTTGACAAATATTTCAAAATTAACATCACTGACCCCACCTTTTTCTTTCATTATTTTAAACTACTCGATACTTGTGACTGATCAGCACTCAAGTCGTAAAAAGTTTGATATAAGAAAAATTTTTATTGCCTATTAAGTTTTTTAATACCCCCAAATATGTTATTTTTTAGTGCAAAAAGGTCACACAATAATTTACGCGCATTAATTTGCAAGATTTGTTTAATGATAAATATTATTCAAACTATTTTACGTAAAATAAGATTACATTTATTGCCATGCTTACATCTAATCAAATATAATAAGGGTTAAAGTAATTAACCAAAGAGATGAAATTTAAGTGCAAAAAGGTCAACTTAAATGTACCGTAGATCAGTAGGATGCACACTGACCCCCTATTTTCTTTGCGATTTTGAGTTACACTTTATGAGTACTTATCCAAAATATACTTCTCAAAAAATCCTTGATATAACAAATTTCAGGAGTGACTTACCTTAAAGCCATATATGGCGTAACTGATAAAAAAAAATATATTTTTGAAAAATACATATTTAAGTAAAGAAATATAGTTAATACATTTAAATTAAAACTTTTCATACGATTCTGAACATGGAGAACACCTCATTTCAACTAATAATACGATTTTGTCTTCATTGTAATGTGTTATTTAAATCTTTTGTATTTTCTTCCGAGTCGGAGAAAATTACGAGAATCCTAATTAAATTAGGATATCTTTATAACGCAATTGACTTAGATTTTGTAATTTACGGTAAAATTCTATCTTTATATAAAGTAATGATACAAATAATAAGTTCTTATAATTTTAGTCTAATAATTTTCATTGTACATACGCCATATATGGCTTTAAAGTTCAGTACCATAGTTTTAACTTCAAACTTCTAATTTGCAACTTTTAAAACGTTTTAGATTTTAAGAAATTCAGAGCTTTGATGTAAATACTCAAATTTTAAGTGACGAAAAATGTGTATTTGTGTTTTTTTTTATTTATCTATTTATTTTTCTTTTTTAGAACTTTACTTCAAATATCCTAAATATCAATCCCAAACTCGGTTTGAATTTAATTTTGAAACTATGTCATGAACTCTTTTGGTTAAGTAAAGGAGCTTTTAGATAATTAGAATATTGACCTGATAATATTCAAATTGGGGCAAAAGATCAAAGTGCATACTTTATCATTGCATTTGAAATATTTTTTATTTCGGAATTATTTGGTCCAGGAAAGATTCTAATTTTAGTCCACTCAAATCAATATCCTTTTTGAAAAAACCACACGTGTAAACATTGACATTGTAGTTTATGTATTTCGTTGATAAATGGATGTTTTCACAGCAATAGAAGGATTTAAAAATATTTACTCGGGGTTGAAGGGCGAAACAACGCTAGAATTCCTCAAATGGGTCAAAGATAATGTAGATGGTGAGTTAGATTGCATGCAGCTGGCATGTACACATTGGCAAACCAGTCAATGTTTACGCTGCTGCTCATGCCCCCCCCCCCCCCCCCCACATGATCGTGTGGTAATTTTCAAGACACACGTGTAAATGGAATTTCCATAGCAGCCATGTCTGGCCATGACTTTTCGCTAACAACTGTTGATTGACCTTATTGAAATATTTTTATTTTTAGGTCTTATTGAGAAACAAATAAAATCATCTCATCAGAGTAACAGCGACGTTGTCCTGCAATCAATCCGAGAGGACCTTAGATCTCTCCTTCCTCTGAATGGGGTGACCCCTACAGAGAATATCTACACCCCCACTGTGGGTCCAGTAAGTGAATAGTATTATTGTGTAATATAGAGACATTTATTGTAATAATCAACATACCACAATTATTTACCATTCAAATGCATGAGGTGCATGCAATTATCTGATATATTGCAAAGGAGTTTTCCTATTAACATGATTAAAGTAATGAATAATATTTCTCATCTATTGAACATTTCTTTGACTACATGTTCATCCAGATTTAGGAAATGAAAGAGACATTGAACATCAAAATTAAATCAAGTTTATACACTCAGACCTATTGAAATATGAAAAATAACCTTTTTCTGTCCAGACAATTTTTCCTTAAAAACCATTATTATAACTTGGCATTTATGTTGATTTTATATGCAAGAGCATGCTCTATGTATAAAGAAATATTTAAGAAATAATTGAATTATTTATATTTACAAATAAAATAAATCAAATGTTGACTGATGCTTTTACATGAATCATTAAACCATTATATTAACACTGATTAGTATGTGTCTATTTATTTTCTGATTGTCAATTCATAACTATGAGCACATAGCAGGTGTGACGGGTCAATAGGGAATGCTTAATCCTCAATGGCATCTGAACCCCCGTCTGATGTTTTTAAAAGTGCTAAGAGTTTTTGCTCTGATTCTATGTTCAGTTTAAATGAACTTATGAGTTTCTTTGTTACCTTTATATCACAGAATGCAGACTGTGATGGTCCCAGCACTGAACACATAGATGCCTTCTGTTATGACGATGATGACATAGATGATTTGTGTGATGAAGGTCAGATGAGCAGGAACTACTGCACAGACTGCGGATCTAGAAATGTCCGACCTCTAAGTATGTTCAACAGGGATTCATTTTCAATCTACAATTATTAAAACAGCAAAATTAGGACAGTGAAGTAATGCAAATTGTCATATCAGCAAGTTTGCAATATGTTTTAAAACCATGGGCAATGCACTGCAAGTGTGAACTCATTATAAAAGTGTTTGCGATAACTATTCACTGTACTGAATAATACAATTTCTAGATAGGTTGCTACTAAATTCTGATGTTCAGATGGTATACTCCTCTTTTCAGCTCTGATTACGCACTCTGCATCTGTAAAACAGATTAAATATATCTTCCAACACTTACTTGGGGATCTTAGAGGAAAAACTGTGGTAGACGTGGGGTCCAGAACGGGGGCAATACTGTATGGGGTAGGTTAAGGCAATGATCAATATGTTGTCTTCCTTAATTTCTTTTGAGAAATTGTCTTTAAAGAATTGAATTAAAGAAAAAAAATAGATGTGTTACCTCTACATGTTTGTGATTATGAAAACATACTAAGGATAGATGATACAAACTTCTATCAAAAATCTTGAAAATAACTACCTAGTTATATTTATATGAGTTAACCACATATATTTTTATTTTTCTTTCAAAGATTCACAATAATATGATTTTAAGTGAAAAAAAATTGTATGGTTGCAGAAAGGTTAAGTTTAAACATCATAGAAAGTTTACAATTTTTTTGTTAATTTAGAAATTTATTAGTTATATCATTTACAACCAAAAAATATATACCCAGAATATCAATCCAAGCAGCCCTATTTTTGTTTGTATCATCTCCCATTAAAGACATTTCTGTGGTTTTAATTTCTTCATTATTGGCCAACCTGAGGAATGTAAATTGTTTTATTATTTGTTTAAAGCCTACCTGCTTAGTGAATATTGTTTTGTTGTTGTTCTGTTTATGGCCTACCTGATGAGTGTAAGACTGTAAATTGTTTTATTGTTTGTTAAAGGCCTACTTGAGGAGTGTAAGTTGTTTTGTTTTTTTGTTTAAGGCCTTCTTGATGATTGTAAATTTTTTTGTTTTTGGTTTAAGGCCTACCTGATAAGTGTAAATTGAAATTGTTTTGTTCTGCTTAGTGAATATTGTTCTGTTGTTGTGTTGTGTTTGTGGCCTACCTGATGAGTGTAAGACTGTAAATTGTTTTATTGTTTGTTTAAGGCCTTGTTGATGATTGTAAATTGTTTTGTTTTTGGTTTATGGCCTACCTGATGAGCGTAAGTTGTTTTGTTGTTTTGTGTAAGGCCAACCTGATGAGTGTAAGTTGTTTTGTTTTTTGTTTAAGGCCTTCTTGATGATTGTAAATTGTTTTGTTTTTGGTTTAAGGCCTACCTGATGAGCGTAAATTGTCATGTTGTTTTGTTTACGGCGTACCTGATTAGTGTAAATTGTTTTGTTTAAGACCAACCGGATTATTGTAAATTGTTTTGTTTAAGGCCTACCTGATGAGTGTAAATTGTTCTGTTGTTTGTATAAGACCTACCTGATGAGTGTAAATTGTTTTGTTGTTTTGTTTAAGGTCTACCTGATGTGTGTAAATTGTTTAGTTGTTTGTATAAGACCTTCCTGATGAGTGTAAATTGTTTTGTTGTTTGTATAAGACCTACCTGATGAGTGTAAATTGTTTTGTTTAAGACTTACCCAATGAGTATAAATTGTTTTGTTGTTTTGTTTAATGTCTACCTGATGTGTGTAAATTGTTTTGTTGTTTGTATAAGACCTACCTGATGAGTGTAAATTGTTTTTTTTTGTTTGTTTAAGTCCTACTGATGAGTGTAAATTGTTTTGTTGTTTTGTTTAAGGTCTACCTGATGAGTGTAAATTGTTTTGTTGTTTGTATAAGACCTACCTGATGAGTGTAAATTGTTTTGTTTAAGACTTACCCAATGAGTGTAAATTGTTTTTTGTTTAAGACCTACCCAATGAGTGTAAATTGTTTTGTTTTTTTGTTTTAGAACTACCTGATGAGTTTAAGTTTTTTTGTTTAAGGCCTATCTGATGGGTGTAAGTTGTTTTATTGTTTGTTTATGGCCTACCTGATGAGTGTAAATTGTTTTGTTGTTTTGTTTATGGCCTACTTGATGAGTGTAAATTGTTTTGTTGTTTGTTTAAGGCTTACCTGATGAGTGTAAGACTGTAAGTTGTTTTGTTTTTCCTTTAAGGCCTGTCTGATGAGTGTAAATTGTTTTGTTTTTGTTTAAGACTTACCTGATGAGTGTCAGTTGTTTTATTGTTTGTTTATTGCCTACCTGATGAGTGTAAATTGTTTTTTTTTTGTTTGTTTAATGCCTACTGATGAGTGTAAATTGTTTTGTTGTTTGTTTAAGGCCTTCCTGATAGGTGGTAGTTTTTTAGGTCACCTGAGTAAACTCAGGTGACCTATTGCTATCTGTTTGCGTCTGTCGTCGTGCGTCGTGCGACGTGCGTCGTCTGTCGTGCGTTAACATTTGAACATTTTCAGCTTCTTCTCTGCAACCACTGATTCAATTTCAACCAAATTTGGCACAAAGCATCTATGGGTGAAGGGGAACAAAAATTGTGAATTTCATAATCCCTGCCCCGGCCCCTGGGGCCTGAGGGGTGGGGCCAAAACCACTAAAATCAATGCAATTTTTAAAATTCTTCTTCCTTACTCCTGGGCATCAAGCAGGCAAACTGTTTGCATGATTGTAATAAGCATTGAGTCCTCTACCAAAACTGTGAAATTCATGGCCCCAGGGTCAGGGGTTCTAGTGCTAGGGCGGGGCTAAATAAGTATATAGTGAAAATGCATTATTTCTTTGAAAATCTTCTTCTCTGCTCCTGGGTATTAAATAAACTAACAAAGTGCATAGTTATGATGAGCAAGAGTACCTCTACCAAAATTGTGAATTTTATGGCCCCAGGGTCAGGGGTTCTGGTGTAAGGGCGGGGCTCTATAGATTATATAGTGAAAATACATGAATTCTTTGAAAATCTTCTTCTCTGCTCCTGGGTATTAAATAAACTAACTAAGTGCATAGTTGTGATGAGCAAGAGTGCCTCTACCAAAATTGTGAATTTTATGGCCCCAGGGTCAGGGGTTCTGGTGTTAGGGCAGGGCTCTATAGATTATATAGTGAAAATACATGAATTCTTTGAAAATCTTCTTCTCTGCTCCTGGGTATTAAATAAATTAACTAAGTGCATAGTTATGATGAGCAAGAGTGCCTCTACCAAAATTGTGAATTTTATGGCCCCAGGGTCAGGGGTTCTGGTGTTAGGGCAGGGCTCTATAGATTATATAGTGAAAATACATTAATTCTTTGAAAATCTTCTTCTCTGCTCCTCGGTATTAAATAAACTAACTAAGTGCATAGTTATGATGAGCAAGAGTGCCTCTACCAAAATTGTGAATTTTATGGCCCCAGGGTCAGGGGTTCTGGTGTTAGGGCGGAGCTCTATAGATTATATAATGAAAATACATGAATTCTTTGAAAATCTTCTTCTCTGCTCCTCGATATTAAATAAACTAACTTAGTGCATAAATATGATGAACAAGCGTGCCTCTACCAAAATTGTGAATTTTATGGCCCCAGGGTCAGGGGTTCTGGTGTTAGGGCGGGGCTCTATTGATTATATAGTGAAAATGCATTATTTTTTTTGTAAATCTTCTTCTCTGCTCCTGGGTATTAAATAAACTAACTAAGTGCATAGTTATGATGAGCAAGAGTGCCTCTACCAAAATTGTGAATTTTATGGCCCCAGGGTCAGGGGTTCTGGTGTTAGGGCGGGGCTCTATTGATTATATAGAGAAAATACATGAATTCTTTGAAAATCTTCTTGTCTGCTCCTGGGTATTAAATAAACAAACTAAGTACATAGTTATGAAAAGCAAGAATGCCTCTACCAAAATTGTGAATTTTATGGCCCCAGGGTCAGGGGTTCTGGTCTTAGGGCGGGGCTCTATAATGATTATGCAGTGAAAAATTACACTAAATCTTTGAAAAAATTTTTACTCTGGGTATGAAGCAGATGAATTGCCTATATGGTAATGATGAGCAAGAGCCCTAATCTTCCAGAACTGTGAATTTCAAGGCTTTAGGGTCAGGGGTACCATAGAGGGGGAGGGGCTGTACTTATGTACTGAAAATTAATGAATTGTTTGAAATCTGCTCCTTGGTATTTATCAAATATTTTTGAAAAGCAAGGATACCTTTTCAAAATTTGTTCAGTGTGTGGATCTAGGCCTAAGGATCAGGGGTTCATGTTTGGTAATGGCATTATTAATTATTGCTGAATATTTTTGATAAGTTGAAATGCATTTTTTGTTCCCCTACCCTGCCTATGGGTATTAAGTAACCGAGCTATGCAACTGCTAAGTGTATTGCTATGATTATCAATGGTGCGTCTTTCAAAATTGTGAATGCCATAGCATCTGGCTTAAAACTTGAATCAAATTCAATAGCTGGAAAGTTGTTGCATAATGCTCAGGTGACCTATAAGGCCCATGGGCCTGTTGTTTGTTTAAGGCCTATTTGATGAGTGTTAGTTGTTTTGTTTTTTGTTTAAGACCTACCTGATGAGTGTAAGCTGTTTTATTGTTTGTTTATGGCCTACCTGATGAGTGTAAATTGTTTTGTTGTTTTGTTCATGGCCAACTTGATGAGTGTAAGTTGTTTTATTGTTTGTTTAAGGCCTTCCTGATAAGTGTAAATTGTTTTGTTGTTTGTTTAAGGCCTACCTGATGAGTGATGCCAGCTGTATAGTCGGGGTGGAAATTGACCAGACATTTTGTCACATCCAGAATCAAATCATCTCCAAGTACCAATTACAAGACAGAGTTCAGGTAATATGCTGCGGATTGTCCAAGCCAAGAATTTAGACAGTATACATGCTCATGTCACTGCATGATAAAATATTAACAATAAAATCTATGAAATTTCAGGTACATCAGCAAGACATACAACAGTGTGGAAACCTAATTCAACAAGGTAGGCAATTTTTTATATATAAAAACTTTTATTAAGAGGCTGCTTAAAGAGTTTACTTAAATTTAAGAGATTTACAAGAATATCCGCATTTTAATATTCAATTCTCACTTATACATGTTAAAAAATATTCATTAATCAACAACTTCTGAGAAATATTTATCACTTGGAAATACCATTTTACAAAATTCTAGAAAATATAATTGATGAATTTTAGTATATTCTTAGTAATAAGGCACTTTGAAGACTTTTTCAAAGAAGTTTCTGATGTGCCAAACAGACATACATAATTATATGGTAGCATCCTTTGTAATATACCATGATAAAAATGGAAACCCTCATCTAATGTTCATCTGATGTACTTATTATTTATTAAAGCTAAATTTGTTAAATCAATATGATCATCACTTCCTAAAAACTGAAGAATTCTTAAATATTCTTGTGTAAAACAGTAGAAATTTTTATTCTTAATACACAATTTTTTTTTCTTTCTTATAGCTGATGTGCTGATCCTTAACAATGTATTTGAATTTTTTATGCCTTTGGACATGCAGAAAAGGTAATTTGTTGTGAAAATTTAAATTTACCTTCAAGTCTCTCTCTCTCTCCAGACACACTCCCACCTACACATAAATCAAGTAATGCACTGCAGAAATAGTAAATTGTGAAATACAGAAAAATGTATTTTGTTCAGTACAGATCATACATTATAAATGTGCAGTACAGAAAAATATCAGTAACTGTCTGTCAAGTGACCATTTTCTAGCTGTAATGATTAATTTTTTATTTGATAACAAATAAATCTGTCAAATTACTTAACATTATTATAATTCATGGAACAATCTGAAATTCAAAATAAATTTAGAAGGGCCATCCAAACACAGATACCAAGCCTCTGATAATGTTAAGTTACTCTCTGATTTTTCAGTATATGGCATTTTTTATACCAGAACATGAGGAAGAAAGGAAGTTATATTGTGACAGTGCCCAGTATTACCGAGTCCTTACAGACAATACAGGTAGAATGGAATACTATCTTCTTATGTGTAATCTATTTAGAAATACAATACAGAAACAAGCGCCTGTGGGCTACATCATCAAAAATGGTTAACATAATTTGCCTTAAATTTTGTAGATGATTTAGAACAAGATCTCAACACAAACATATATAAAATTCAGAAATTTTCAATGGTTAGTTTTTTGTTGACAACCTATCAATCTCTACCTAATCTTTTTAAGTAGTGTACTTCAATATTGTGCAGTTGAATTTTTATTTTTTACTATGAACATTATGATTCAGTGATTTTACGTGTATTTTATTTTTCTGTGTAGTTACCTTTAGACCTGGGGTCCTGGATACAAAAGATACCTACAGGGGAGATAACTCGAAAAGCTAACCTGTTACTGTATGGCGACCAAGATTCCGAGGACTCAGAACTTCCACAAATCCATCTGTATCAAGTCATGTGATCTGACGTTTGCATCAAGTCATGTGATCTAACATTGTATATCAAGTCATGTGATCTGACGTCTGTATCAAGTCACATGATCTAACATTGTGTATCAAGTCATGTGATCTGACATCTGTATCAAGTCATGTGATCTGACGTCTGTATCAAGTCACATGATCTGACATCGCGTATCAAGTCATGTGATCTAAGGGACCAGGCGAAATTTATCACAGTGATGGGACCGGTACAAAAAAATAATTCATAAAAAAAAAATACATGTCCCATGGTTTTCATTTTGAAGAAAAATATGAGTCCCATGTCTTGAGACTTTAATAAAAGTTACTGTCCCATGGATACATCTTGATATTCATGAGATTGTTGCAACAAAAAGTACAATGTTTACAGTTATTCTTTATATATATTAAACATGTATAACATGGATGCAAAGATATTTAAAGATGCTTTACACCAATAAACACTATCATGCTTCTATTAAATGATTCTACTTCAATGAACTATTCAGTCACTGAATCATATTAAACATCTGTATCAAGTCTGCTAAACCATTGCAAACTTAGTTTCATCAGACGTATTTGTATCTAGTTATTTCTTATATACCCCGTTAATGGCGGTATTCATCCAATCAAGTGAGCTCAGTGTGGCTACTTGTATATCTATTCATAAAACTAAAATACATTTGCTGAATATGAACTCGCACCCGTACATTTGTAAATGTTTTATAAATTAACTCCTCTTTTATATAAATCAAAACTATATACCATTGTGGAATCACTTAAAACTGTGCGCATATTATTGAATATCCTTAGCAGATGATTGTGTTATTTTTCATTGCTTCCGTAATCGAGTTTGATTACTGAAAAAAAAACATAATACTTTGTCAGCAAAAACAATCTATACTAATCAAAAGTCGCCAGGCAAGTTTTTGATTAACACCGCTGTTATAATAAATTATTTTGACATAATAATTTAATGAATATACATGATAAAAAAGTAGCAAAACAATTTTTTTCACTTACTTTATTTTATTGAAGCGCTTTATCACACTATGCAGAAACGTTATGTCACCCTAGAATTAAAAATACGCAACGTTGAAAACTGCATTATCCTCCATTCAAACGAATTAATAGCAAGACGACCGCTCCTCAAAGAGTTCACACTATTATTAAAGAAAAAATCTTTATTGGATATTTTGCATGTGTTGACTAAAGGTCGTCCTCTTGCTCAGCTAGATTCTGCTGCTGGAAAATCTGTTTCACTCTCATGTCTATCTAAATCTCCCATACATGCTAGTTAAGGATTAGTCACATCCAGCGATGGGGTATACGATGAGAAGCCGATGGTTTTTTGTTTTTTTTTTGATAAAAATGGCGTGGTTGCCGACCGGACACCTATAGTAATCGGACGGTGATTGAGGCCATTTGGCAAATCGGTGGGGGTCATCGGTAGAAATGCCTGAGCCACATTTCCCGGCCGGCGGCCGTAGACCGGTGGTAATTCGTGGTGTGAGCGATGCCCTAACATCGGTCCACATCGGCCTAGTATTCCTCAAAGTATCGGTCACATTATTCAGCGATGGGCAACCAATGTGTTTTTGATAAAAATGGCGTGGTTGCCGGCACGCCATACAAAGGCCTAGCGATGCATTGCTAATCAATAAACGTTGTTCCATGGTAATTGGCCGATGTTTATTACATCGCTCATACATTGGTGAACATCGTTCGTACGTTAGTCGACTTTGGGCCAATGTTTGGTCGAACATCGACCGATGATCGGTCGATATTTGTTGCCCACAACTTAACCCCCGCGATGGCCTCAGATTCATCGGACATTTGACGATGCTCGGCCATACATCGGTCGATCCTTGAAACATGTGTCAATGATGGGTTGCCGATGAGGAGTGATGCGAGGCATCGCTGAAGACATCGCTGATTTTTAACTTCGAATTATTTTCTACCGATGACCCCACCGATTCGCAAAATGGCCTCAGTCACCGTCCGATTACTAGTGGTGTTCGGCCGGCAATCACGCCTTTTTCATAAAAAAAAAATGCATCGGTTTCTCATCGTATACCCAATCGCTGGATAATGTGACAGATACTAAAATAAGAAGTAGTTAAAAATCAGCGATGTCTCCAACAATGCCCCACATCCCTCCTCATCGACAATCCATCATTAACACATGTTTCAAGGATCGGCCGGTGTATGGCCGAGCATCATCAAGTGTCCGTTGAATCTGAAGGGTTGAGTTGTGGGCAACAAACATCAGCTGATCATCGGTCGATGTTCGACCAAACATTGGCCTGTAATCGACTGGCGTACGAACGATGTTCACCAGTGTATGAGTGATGTAACCCGATTACCCTGGAACAACGTTTTATGATTAGCAATGCATCGCTAGGCCTTTGGAAGTCCGGCCGGAAATCATGCCATTTTTTATCAAAAAAACGCATTGTATACCCCATCGCTGGATAATGTGACTGCTACTTTAAGGATTACTAGGCTGATGTGGACCGATGTTGAGGCATCGCTCACACCACGATTACGGTTTTACCACCGGTCTAAGGCCACCGGCCGGGAAATAACACGAAAAATCTTTTTCTAATAACAAAAAAAGAGGTCAAAATCGGACAAGACAACGGCCGATGAACTGCAAACTGTCACCCGAAGAATCCCATTTTTGCTTCGACCGTTGGTCGTTTTTGGAAATGTGACTGGAGTTTTAGGTCACGGTAGAGTAATTACACATTTGATTACAATTTTTTTGACTTTGACAGGTAAGCAAGTGCTGCAAGTTAAAGACAAAGGGCAAGAGCCACTTTGGGCCTTATTTGGCCCTGAGAATTTCTGAATAATCAAAACCGCTCAGTTTAGGTTGCAAATGCAGTATTTATCACTTAGACTGTTGGTGACCACGTATCTACTAATTGTGACGTAATTTCCCATCTAGTCAATGCATTATGACGTCATAAAATGCGTCATTTTCCTCATATCCTATAAATTCCTTTGAAAATTACCTAAAGTTGAAGCATTATTTCTATATTTCATATAGAGCACAAACTCTGATCCAAAATATGCAAATATATAATGAAAGCTCTGTTTCTGAAGATCAAAAGAACATGTTTTATTTTTTGGATCGTGAGCTGTGCTCATATTTTAATTCTTTGCTGAAGGTAGTCAAAAACGCATGTTTTCTGCAAATTTCAAGAACATAGCAATTTCTCAAACCTGTTTTCCAATATCTGGATTCTCAAAACGAATTTTTTTTATAAGAAAATGAAAGCACAAAGTGTCTACTTTATTTTGATATATGAAATGGGAAAGAGGGTGATATATCTATAGTTAATTAATTGATATAAGTACAGGGCAATTTTATGCATAATATGGCTCTTGCAGCTAGTAAATTGATTAAAAGGTCTTTAATTTTTTGAAGTAATAAAAGTTGGGACTTTAAAATTTTGACAAGTATTTCATGAAGTCAAATGCTGCGATTGGCGTTTTTCATACTGATTGTTAAACTATTAGTCACACATTGAGTTGCCCACGGATTTTTAGGTCACCTGAGTAACTCAGGTGACCTATTGCTATCTGTTTTCGTCCGTCGTCGTGCGTCGTGTGTCGTGTGTTAACATTTGAACATTTTCAGCTTCTTCTCTGAAACCACTGAACCAATTTCATCCAAATTTGGTATACAGCATCTATGGGTAAAGGGGAACAATAAATTTTGAATTTCATGATCCCCGCCCCCCCCCCCCCCCCCCCTGGGGCCTGAGGGGTGGGGCCAAAACCACTAAAATTATTGTAATCTTTAAAAATCTTCTTCTTTACTCCTGGACATCAAGCAGGCAAACTGTTGGGATGAATGTAATGAGCATTGAGTTCTCTACCAAAATTGTGAAATTCATGGCCCCAGGGTCAGGGGTTCTAGTGCTAAGGCGGGGCTCTATAGATTATATAGTAAAAAACATTATTTTTTGAAAATCTTCTTCTCTGCTCCTGGGTATTAAATAAACTAACTAAGTACATAGTTATGATGAACAAGAGTGCCTCTTCCAAAATTGTGAATTTAATGGCCCCAGGGTCAGGGGCTCTGGTGCTAGGGCGGGGCTCTATTGATTATATAGTGCAAATGAATTATTTCTTTGAAAATCTTCTTCTCTGCTTCTGGGTATTAAATAGACTAACTAAGCATATTGTTATGATGAGCAAGAGCGCCTCTTCCAAAATTGTGAATTTTATGGCCCCAGGGTCAGGAGTTCTGGTGTTGGGGCGGGGCTCTTTTGATTATATAGTGAAAATGCATTGTTTCTTTGAAAATCTTCTTCTCTGCTTCTGAGTATTAAATAGACTAACTAAGCACATCGTTATGATGAGCAAGAGTGCCTCTACCAAAATTGTGAATTTTATGGCCCCAGGGTCAGGGGGCTCTGGTGTTAGGGCGGGGCTCTATTGATTATATAGTGAAAATGCATTATTTCTTTGAAAATCTTCTTCTCTGCTTCTGGGTATTAAATAAACTAAGTAAGTACATAATTATGATGAGCAAGAGTGCTCCTATAAAATTGTGAATTTTATGGCCCCAGGGTCAGGGGTTCTAGTGCTAAGGCGGGGCTCTATAGATTATATAGTAAAAAACATTATTTTTTGAAAATCTTCTTCTCTGCTTCTGGGTATTAAATAAACTAAGTAAGTACATAGTTATGATGAGCAAGAGTGCCTCCTATAAAATTGTGAATTTTATGGCCCCAGGGTCAGGGGTTCTGGTGTTAGGGCGGGACTCTATAATTATTGATTATATAGGAAAATATTTTCCTTTGCTTCTAGGTTTTATGCCAATGATCCAAGTATATATATTTATGATGAAGAAAGGTGCATCTAGCAAAGTGGTTAGTAGTATAAGCAGCCCCGATAGACGGGTCAACTGAGTGCACTTTTTATGCAAATGAGGTCAAAAATGGAGGATTCTGATTGGTGGTGGGGATAAGTGGGTCAACTGAGTACAGTTCTAACCCTAACCCCCTAGCCCCCTAACCCTAACCCTAACCCCTCTAACCCTAGCCCCCTAGCCCTAACCCTAACCCTAACCCTAGCCCCTAACCCCCTAACCCTAACCCTAACCCTAACCTAACCTAACCCTAACTATCCCTATCCCCCTTAGCCCTAACTAACCCTAACCCTAACCCC